GTGCTGGATAAAGTTGCCATGGTAGCCCGAGACTTGGAGACCGTTGGAGCATCGGACCTTCATGAGAGCTTGGAAACCAGTCTCTCTAGTCACGGCGTGTGAGATCTCAAGTGATAACTTTCGGCTATCCCTCGCAGCGATGAAGTTAGGGTAATAAAAGGTCTCTCCGCCAGTGGTCGAGGAAACATGACCTAAAGAAAACATGAGATTAGCATCAGTTTATGACACTTTTAGGGACTGGGCCTACCAATAGTCGCAATGTCAAGATAACCACCAGACGGAGCAGCAAGGAAGAAATCAGCACCGACACCGGAAGCAGCCATCTTCTCGGCAACCTTCTTCCAGGCCGGGTGCTCAGTTGTGTAGAGCTTCTTATCGATTTCACCTCCAGGGTGATTACCATTGTCACGCATGAAGAGACGACCAGGACCCCAAGTTGGCAGCGCAGAGCAAGATGCCACAATCTTGCCTCCCGTCGCCTCGAGGGCGGCAAGCGCTGAGTTCAGGGCGGCGAGAAGGGCGGGCTCGGGGTTTTTGATGGTAGAGAACATATCCGGAAGCCTGGTAAGCAGGGATGTGATCACATCCTTGGATTCATATGGGTCGACAAAGAGTCCCTCGCTCAGGGGTACGAAGGGATCCTCAAGGTCAGGCATGATCATCATCTGAGCTTGATCCAGAGCAGGCTGTAGACCGTTAGTGAAAGCGGCAGTATAAGTATCATTCTCAACTCACGTTGACATTGTAAAAGTGAATGTCTTTGTCGTACGTGACGAATCCAACCTTGGCGCCTTCTGGTATCCTACGTTTTGGCTCTCCATTCTCATCCAACTCTTGATCTTCACCACCATATAGAGCAACACGGATACCCTCACAGAAAGCCTCGACATAACCCTTGTTGTAAGATTCTTGGGTTACGTCGATGAGGAACAACCATCGCAATCCTACGGGCTCCCTGGTCCAGTACTCTTTGGGCACAACAAACTCTACAGTTCCTCGGTGAAGCTCGGGTCGAGTGTCACGATCAACTCGGACACCTTGTGGGTTGGTTGCAGAGAAATACTCGGGAGGAGTGTCATTGGGGTATGCGCAGAGGTTGCAGACAAACTTGTTTCCACCCGAACGGAACATCATAAAGGGGTTCATATAAGCTCGGCATCGTCTGCATCGTGGGGGTCCAGCTTCACCAAAGTCGAGGATGGGAATTTCGGCTTCTCCAGCCTGTAGCGGAGCTAGCGGCTGCAGCAAGAGTCCCAGAGAAAGGCCTGTAGCCTGGAGAGCGTCCTGAGTAGTTGGGATGTTGTTGAGTGTGAGTCGAGTGTACTTCGGTGACGAGTTGCCCTGGTCGTAGGCAACAAACGAAACGGTCGAGGGGGGAGGGACATGTCGTTCGAAGGTGGGATACACGTTCTTGAGGTAGTACTGCTGGATAGCGTCTCGCGAGGCCGGTACGCTGGGCATGTCGTCGGGTGACACTCCCTTGGGTCCGCTGGTAGACACTGAGGCTGTACCGAGGCCCTCGCCGACACCGGGTGTTCCAGTAACAGGACCAGGACCAAAAGCCTGGTTAACTGGCGCACTAAATTGGCTCTGACTTTGCATCTGAGGAGTTCCCTGGGGGCTTCCAAATTGACCTCCAAAACCGGGACCGCCAGGGACGCTGTCGAGGAACTGTGTAGCCGAGGTCCCCTGGGGAGGCATGCCATTGAAGGCTTGTGAGGAGCCGGTGGGTTCAACGGTATGGTATGCATGACGATCCTTCTTTTTCCTTCTCGCTGTGCCGTGTCCATCTCCCAAGTTCATTCCACCAAGCTGAGCAGCCAGTGTAGCATCTTGTGACGGAGGAGCTTGACCTGGAGGAGCCTGAGCCTGAGGAGGCGCATAACCATATCCGGGAGCTGGTGCGGGTGAGCCAGTCATAGGAGGAGGCGCTTGCTGGCCTCCGAGATATTGGGGTGCTCCATATGGTGATGCTTGTTGTTGGTAAGGTGAGGGAGCGATTGGCGGTTGGAACTGTTGCGCAGAGGGTTGAGATGTTCGGTCGGGATCATTGGGGTCAATGACCTCGCCATGGCCAAGAGCGTGGTACTGAGCGTAGTCGGCCATTGCGACGTTGAGGCTCGAGAAGCGAAAGGGACGAAAGTATCGAGGGCGAGTATCCGTATCGATCTATCGGATGAGCGTGTGCCCAGTAAAGGAGACGTGGGGCAATGAAATATACCGTAGGATGATGGATGGCGGTAGCTAAAGCTTCAATAACATGGGACAAGAGAATTCGACAAAGAAATTATATGCAGAAAATCACGAACATGGTCTCCCAAGTCCGCACCCAAGCTGAAGACCTTCTTTTTTCTTCACCGAAGATTTCAGGAGCAGAATCGAGATGCTATCGTTGATGATAGGTGTCCTGCCTGCCTCGCTGGCCTTTTCTGGTGCACCTTCCGGTTGGACATTCTGGGCGATCGTGTTCCGTGTCCCACCTTACTCTGATTGGTAAGGCTTGAAGTATAAAATTGAATGTGCACTGTACAGGTGGACTGTGATCTATAAGACGGTCATGTGATGCTTCAGCATAGCATTTGATAAGTGTAAGTAATGATGCGCATAGCCAACGACATGATGCCATAGGTCTCGCTCAACAACTGGGTAAATGATTTTGTGTGTGAATACAGACCAGAGGCTTCCAAAGTAATATGGAGAGTAGCAAAGTCATTTGCCATGCTCAACTTGAGAGGGAACTCAACCCATGTGTTGATGCTAACCTAGACCTGCAAAACCAACGGCTTTTCTGTAACAATATCGTCTTCCTGTAAGCTCGTGGAAGCAGTGGATATAGTTCCGCTTTCTGTTATGTTTCATGTACCTCTGTTTACTGTTTTACTATGACGGTTATCTTTGTGGCAGAGGGATGTTCTTATTCTGGGATGAGTCTTATCTTCGTTTCTAACGCTACAACTCATCGGCGAATCTTGAAATGACAATACTACATCTGACAACGCGGCAGCCAATAAACTCTACAAACCCAGACGAAGCAAACACTGACTCTCGATAAAAATAGGCCTATAAACGAAGCAAAGTGTTACCGTTCGGAGACAAGCCAAGCCGTGCCTGAGAAGCCCGCGATCGGGTGGAGTGAATTATCACATCTTCATCACGAACATAACGGTGAGCAAAAAATAGTGTACAGATCTCAAATCAAGGTCAGTAACTCGCATCTTAAGATTGCTAGATATTTTAAAAAGCTGGCGTGTGTTCCATATGATTTAGCGCCAAGACGATAAGGCTGTTGAATTGGGCGCAAGCTCTCATGATGCCACGTCCCGCCCCTCACTTGACGTAACGCGTCAATTGCGACGATGAAGCCAGAGGTGAAGCTTCGAAGTGGCTGGAAATGTTATTATGTTGAGGTTACAAGATGTTGACATTCTCCACCCTCAAGCGTTATAAATAAGTCAAAGACCAATATGTAATGACAAAGAATTGCAAATGCCCTAAGTTAGATCTGTCTCGGGTTGGCCACGTATGAACGGCATACGTACAATGAGTAGGTTGCCATAAGTGTCGGTAAATCCAATGTGAAATAGCAATAAGTATCATACGGACAAAAACGAAGAAGAAGAGAAATAATGAAGCACCTTAAAGAGAGCCCATGAGATGTGTGGATGCGAACCGTAGACTATTCACCATTCGGTGTTGCTTCTTTGACGCCTCCCACCGTGTAAGTCGTGATGCAAGATCTTCGCCCTCTCAAGAGCCGATGGTGATATTTTATTCAACGAAAAAAAGTGAAAATGCACTTAAGTTGCACCTGAATACTTTCCGACCAGTAAACGATGCAAAGTTGGCTTGTGATGTGGTGTGTGTTGGTTTACCGATTAGACAGTGGTGGGATGCGGATAGCTTCAGAAACGACGCGCGATGTTGAGAAATAGACTTGTGAGTGACTTTGAGCAATATGGATCATATATTTATCGAATCGAGCCAGGACAATGTAGAAACTACACTATCGTGGTCGCTGTTTCTTAAAAAGGCATCAAGAAGCTTCACAGGAGCATATTTATCACTGTATCAGCCGTAAATCGGAATGCGACAACGAGCATGGCTCATTCAATCGCCGCTCAACGGTTCTCAGGCGCGAAGGGAGGCTTATATATCAGTCGCAATAAGTCAGCGAATCCTCCACCTAATTTGGAACGGAAAAGATTGCCCGAGACTCGCAAGAAGACAAAGAAATCGAGTCATTCATCTCTTGGACAATGGTCGTCGAAGAAGCGAGAGAATCGAGGGAAATGGATGCTCGGGGGCATGAGTTGCGCTCGCATTTTGCCAGACTCTAGATCACACAGAGATACACCTCACCCAAGGTGATGTCTGGGCTGGCCAATCAGAAAAATGGTCACTTGCCCAGGATTATTTTGGCATTTTTGGTGCCCCATTTTCCCAAGTGCCATATCTTGGAGGGTCCAGGCTTGGCATCTCTCTAACTTTGATGAGCTGGATGTGGCTGGACTGAAATAGTGCAAGAGATTGTGAGTTATGCAGCGAGCTTCGGCCAATCCAGAATCGCGATAAGAAAGTTCACGTGCTCTATGAAGGTCTTGTCACTCTTGTGCGCTGTTTTGTGCAATGGCATGCCATCGGGTGCTAAGTGTGCATGCGCATTTTTAGTGTGGCGCTTTGAATGCCCCTCCTCCCAATCGGGGCAAGTGGGCCTATGGCAGGTGAGCAAGACGGGAGAGTCGCGAAGATGTAAGAGGAGAGCAGCGCAGGAGCAGGAGCTTGGGGAGGAGAGTGATTGCGCTCTGCCCCCGCCGAATATATAAACATGGCCCATCCCCTCCACGCGCCCGACCAAGATAGTTCTACTCGTCGTTTGCTCTCTAGTCTCTTAATCGTCTTCCAAAGCCTTCACTCGTATTCAAACGTCTTTGTCGCGTCTCAATTACCATCCCAACTACCCGTCTTTATTCAAAGCATCTCAACCCACACAACCCACCACAATGCCTCCCAAAGCCGCTGCCGCCGCTCCCAAGAAGTCTGGCCACGCCAGTTATCAGGTGAGTTCATTCTCGAGATATTTCTTCTGGATTGGTCGCTAACAATTGAATTTCAGGACATGATCACTGATGCCATTGTCAACGTATGTGAATTCTGAAAGCTCCCCATTCATGTCGCGTCCACCATCGCGCACTCAGTCTTCGGTCGCGGATGAGGCTATCGCCACACGCCCGACCGACGATTTCACCTCACTCATTCTCTTTCATTCGTTTTCACTCACTAACGTGTTTTTCTTTGCATTCAACAGCTCAAGGACCGAAAGGGCTCTAGGTAAGCTTCATTTCTCATTTATCCTCGTCGCGCAACTCACTCACGTTGTCGCCTTTCTTTTCCCTCTTTCCCACCAGCTACTGACTCGCCGCACAGCCGTCAATCCTTGAAGAAGTATGTCAAGGCCAACAACACTCTCAATGTCACCGACAACATGTTCGACTCTCTCTTCAACAAGGCCTTGAAGGCTGGTGTCGACAAGGGTGTCTTTGAGCAGCCCAAGGGTCCCTCCGGTGGTACCAAGCTCGCCAAGAAGCAGCCTGAGGCGAAGAAGCCCGCTGCTCCTAAGAAGCCTGCTGCTGAGAAGAAGGAGGCCGCTGAGAAGCCTGCTGCGAAGAAGCCTGCTGCTAAGAAGGCCGCCGCCCCCAAGAAGGCTGCTACCGAGAAGAAGGCTGCTGCCCCCAAGAAGGCCGCCGTTGAGAAGAAGACGACCGAGAAGAAGGCCGAGAAGGCCGAGAAGGCTGAGAAGCCTGCTCCTGCCAAGAAGCCCGCCGCTCCCAAGAAGGCTGCTGCTACCAAGAAGGTATGTTTTGACTCAGCTACCCTCCCATCACATCCTCTAACATTCTATCCAGGCCGACAAGGCTGAGAAGCCCGAGACCGCTCTTACAAAGACAAAGACAGGTCGCGTCACCAAGACCACCAAGGCAGCACCCGTAAAGAAGACTGCTGCACCTAAGAAGGCAGCACCCAAGAAGACTGCTGCCAAGGCGTAAATGACGCTGAGCAGTATTGAACTTAAATTAATGACGGCCACGGCGTTAAAGGATCTGTTCACGGCAAGGGTACGGAAAGTACGGCTACTGGTATTTTGATGGTTTGGTTCGGAGCGCGGGATTATCGGCTGTTTGTTTACACGTGCACGCGGAGACTCGCGTCTGTATGATTCTACCCTCAGCCATCTCATTATGTTGGAGGTGGTACACTAGAAGTGAGGGTCATTTCTATGCGATTTTGTCCCCTGTATTATCTTATATAACATGACAGAGTCTTCTTACGGCGTGTCATGGTTTCAAACAATGCTAGAGGGGACGGTCGGCGTGTTTTTGGAGAGGGCAAAAGTCTCGGTTGTGGGTGAGGAAGGGTTGTTTGCGATTATACCACTGTCGCTGTTTTGAGTTATTCGATTTGAACTACGCAATGAACATTTTTCAAGATTCCTCTTCATTCCATGATAATCCATGATTTTCGGATATTCCGTAAGGTATGAGCGAGCGCGATTATGTGACGCGCTGTCTTAGGGCTTGTTTACGTGGGTTGAGGTGAAGCGTGTCTCGACTCTTTGCCAGGGGGGTTTCACGTGGGTCGCCAACATGCTCTGACTGACGAACGAAACAATAGACTAGGTACGTGGAGGAAAAGGCAGTCTTGGGCGTCTAACGCTTTAGACGGGTATGAAAAGAGCGCAATCTAATACGATAATTGCCTGTTGGTGGTCTGAACCTGGAGAGCATTTACGCGTCAGCCTTGTTCTGGGTGTAAGTGAGTCTGGGTATATTCGTATTCGCGGTTTCTGGAGCGCGAGTGCAAATCCCAAGCCTTGTTCGCCACAATAGAATTGTTGCTTCGAGACAAGAGCTTTCTAGTCATTTATCATAGCTGTCATTTTGCCTTGGCTGAGGTATTGGCACTCGCCGCCATATCATGGTTGAGTGTGTCGCTGACCTGCTGGTGAGGATTGTAGTCGAGAAAAGTGGAACCATGAAACTTTTGGTTTGGCACCCGTGGTGTCTCCCTAGATAACTACCTACCTAGACAACTCACTCTTCAAGGCTTGCTAAGTATGTGAGCAGGTAGGAGGACACTCAGGGACTACTTAGAGGAGTCTTGTTAAAGAGTGCCTTTCACAGATGACATGATGACTCATTTGGCGGCCATATGGCCAAGACACAGAGTCTACACACTCTTCGCACACAGGTAGTCAGCAAGACAGACATTGGATCTCAGCGTCTATTTTTCGAAACCGTATCGTCCGGGGCGTGAGATGAGACATTTCAGCTACAGATATCGACCTGTCGTCACAACTCACGTGCCTCAGGTCCCAACGTGAAGCTTAACCAAACGCTTGTACCTGTACTTCCTTGCAGCACAGATTACCGAGCGAAGAGCTATGACAGTACGTATCCTGCTTCTAGGGACCACAATGCCCAACGTCAGCGGTATTTCTGCCCCTCGTAAGCTCCCGGCTGGCCCGTGCTTCTTCATGCCCGTCAATGATCATCGCCTGTTTCGTTCTCTTGAGTCGACTCTGCTCGTTGTCTCTCTTCCCTGTCCCATCCTGTCCAGTCCAGCCTATTTTAGGCTTCTGTTTCGTGCCACGGACGGTTCATCCCCCTGAAAGTGACTCGATTCTGTGCTGGGTCCAGGCACCGTTAGCGATAAGATATTGACCCTGGGGTCTGAAGGCGCTGACGACTTCAACCCACTTTGGACGCCTCTTGGGTGGCATCGCCAGATTTCTTTTCCTTTCCCCAGTGACTCAAGACCTCGTTTGGTACAAACAACAGCTCAGGTTGTGTGTGCCTTAGCATTCTTGCTGCGACGTCCCCCTCCAGCTCCTGACCGATCATTCCGGGGGCCACTTGCTGCGCTGTGTTACGCCTGAACTCATTTCCTCACAAGGCTACCTACTCCGTACCTACCTATCTACGGTACCTTGCCTGCAGGACCTGTGCTTTGTTGACCTCAAAAAATCTACTATTGTCTTGTTCTGCCTCGTTTCCGTCTCATCTGCGCTGCGCTGTTATTATCGCTTCCATTGCCGCCTAATCTCCTCCACTCGGTTTTCCTCACCTTGGCCGCCTACCCAAGCTCTTGCCCGGCTGTGCCGAAGATGGCGGGCAGCCTCTGTTTGCATGCGCCTTGACCTATTATCGCATCAGAATCACCTCTCCATCTCCCCTGTGACGCAGACGATAAGCTCGAACCATAGCAGAACGAGACGAGACACGCCTAAAAAAATCACCTGAGACGATCGCGCAGAAAATCTAGTCGCTATGGCATCGTCCAATCCGTTTCGCAAGAGTGCTGCCATAACGGTAGACTCGGCTTCTTTTCTTAACTCAACATCCTCCGCCGCCGCTCGTTTCCCTGCTCTCGACCAAATTGAAACAGCACCTACTCCTCCGCCTCCGACCAGCTTCCAGCAAGTTGGCTCTTCAACCATTGACTCGAAATCTAAGATTACCAAAAAAGTCCGCGTACTATCACCCCCGCCGCTGTCTCCCGACTCTCCCGAATGGGCATTTGCGGCACCTTCTATCGCGCAACAGACCGCGAACCAACAGAATGAGGACGATCCGTTCGATGCAACGTCTACCGACGATAGCGACCGCGAAATGGTAGCTGCGGCTGTCCATAACTATGCTCCGAATGGCGGTCAGGGCATAGGAAACCCATTCAGCAAGACATTACGCAGCGTTGATTCCCCCGTCGCTGAACAAAAGCTTGAGCATGAGCGCAAAGAAGAAGGACAGGCGCTTAAAGCCGCCAATACAGCCAGAAGGTCTCTGGACGTCAATTCTTTCAAACGATTACTGATGACGGGTAATACGGAGTCGGACAAGTCTTCGCCGCCGAAAATCCGACAGTCGATGCCGCCACCAGCCAAAAACACAAAAGACCGACCGTCTGTTTTCCGAAGAATCTCACATGATGATTCCAAAGATATATCGGCCCCCGAGAATGCACTCCAAGAGGCATCTCTCATATCTGAAGAAGCCTCGGATACCCCGGAAGATGATATTGATCAAGAGAACGTTTCTGACTCAAGCACTTCTGCCCAGCTAAGCACAAAGAACAGCAAGAGACCGCCGCCGCCACCTAGCTCGCGACATGGCAAGTCCATCAAGCTGGATCTGGTTGGTCAGGCATCTCGAGAACCTCTTGCAACACTGTCATCAGATATGAACAAACCGCTTCCGCCCGCGCCGGTGAGAAGAAGTATGGAAGAAGGAGGCGACTCACCGTTTGACCGTGAAGCAGCTGGTAAAGTTCCAGACGCTGAAGGTGATATGGGATCAGCATCGCCAGAACCACCAGGCGGCAGCCGTAAAGCAGTTCCTGCACCACCACCTCGACGAGGTCACGCGAGAGGAGAGAGCAAGGCCTATGCGTCTGGTCTAGGCTTGACACAGCAGCAATTTGTGCACAATGAAGAGAACTTATCACGGTCATCGTCTATGAGATCCCGACCTGAGCACAACCGACGTGACTCACATGCAGCAGCACCTCCACCTCCACCACCGCCACCAAGATCTCATCACACCTCGAGACAGTCGACGCAGATACCATTGGGGGTGGCCTCAAGCCTCACGGACCTGAGCCAATCGTCATCATCTCCTGCCCCATCCCTGGATGTCGATATGAGCACCACCTCCACGCCATCACAGCTGCGTCAATCTTCCACAGTTGAGTTAACGCCTCCGAGAGATACGCAATCAGGAACACATCAGCCTGTGACGACAACAAAATCTTGGGCCCCACCACCACCACCTGCGCGAAACACATCTGTTCGACGGCCTGCGAGTATCAGAAGTGTTGACAGCAGTAGCCGGCGGATCTCATTCGAAGCAAAACCCCATAATCAGATGGCACCCCCTCCACCACCTCGAAGGCAACGAGGCAGCAGCCGTGGCAGCGTCGATGGACCTCGGAGGACGAGTCTTGATGGTGTAGGGAAGGCTGGATCGAGTCAAGTGGCCGAGGAGGAGCCTGACAATGTCGCAGCGACAGTCGGCTCGGGTCCCACATCTCCGCAATCGGCAAACGAGCCAGGGAAGAGTGTTGACATCTTGGCTGACCTGGACGCCCTACAACGAGAGGTGGACGCCCTGCGGGGGAAACTGGGATGACGAGGTGCACGCATACATACGACGGAGATGCATGCATGAAAGCGAGTAGAAGCATGTTGGAATGTGTTGATGGTTGTACAAAAGAGGAGCGTGGCGACATGCAGTCGAAGCTTTAGTCTTAGTGGAGTGGGAGCTGAGGACGAAGGAACGGACGAACGAAAGAAAGAGAGCAAGAAAGAACATAATATCTATGGATGTGACATTATGCGGGCGTTTTGATGGACAGGACTCTGGCATGATAGAGTTGTCTGGTTGGTCTTTGTTCTACTTTATCTGTATGGGAAAAGGTGTTGTAGATGAATATCATGATGTCAGGCATGGCGAGTTGATTGAGTTGTCAGAGACAGAGGTTAGCATAATGGAAGTGATGTTTGACGATCATGATGAGGATTGAGGATTGCATACATTCTGTCGTACTCTTTGGATGACCGTATCGGTGTAGTGCTCGCCTCTACTCAGCCACCAGGACACATACAGTACAGTACAGTTCAGTACACACACACACGCACACACACTACCGGTGGACTTAGATATGAGTCGTCAGGGAGACCCTTGTCATGAGCTAGCTGTTTAGCAGTTTGGCGTCTGAACCCCGAAGGATCCGTGACAGTTGAAACATATGACCATGAAAAGTGTAATTGTTTCTAGTGGGCGAGCACGAGAGCATAACAGTACTATTGTGAGTATTTGTGAGCCTTTGTTGACAGGCTTGCATCTATCTGTTCTATTCTGTTCCTTTCCATGTACACACATATGTATATTTGTTGTCTGCTCACTCCGTCATGTCGTATTGGGCGACATGATCAACGTGGTGAGAAGGGGGGGGAGGGGGGACCTCTCTGTGGCTTGTGATTGGGGGCAAT